AAGTCCTCCCCTTTCGGAATAAAACTGAGAAGGACCAACTACTCCCTGCGTTTCCACTGCGACCAGCAGGCCGAGCAGAAGAAGAAGAAGAGACACGGCAGCTCGGGAGACAGCGCGGACGCCCCCGGGGAGAGAGAAGCGGAGGGAGCGGCCCCCAAGCCAGGCCCTGCGCCCCCGCAGGACGGGAAGCAGCCCCCAGCCCCCCGCAGGGACTCTGCGCCGGGAGCCCAGCCCGGCCCCGCGCCAGCCGGCAGCCAGGCCCCGGCTGCAGAGCTGGACCAGACAGCCGGCAGAGCAGCGCCGGTGCAGAAGCCTGCCCTGGCGCCCAAGCCTGCTGGCCACACACCCCCGTCGTCCCCGCTCGCCAAGCTCAGCCGGCCCTATTTGGCAGAGCTACTGGCTCGGAGGGCTGGGAAGCCCGACTCCGAACCCAGCCAGCTGCCCAGGGAGAGCCAGGAGAGCAGGGACCCCCAGCCACCCTCACCACCAGCCCCGGATGAAAGGAAGGGCCAGAAGAGGGACCAGGAGGAAGAGGCGTGGGAGAGGAAGCCCGCTTCCCCACCTCGGACTGCCGCCCAGCCGGACAGACTTTCCCAGACTCCAGAGGCTGCGCGGAAAGGTAGGTACCTGTCGGGAGGGGCGCCCCTTCACTGCTGGAGCCACAGGAGCTCCCCCGGAAGCCGAGAGCAGCTTTGATAATTAGAAGCCAGTGTGTGGTTCTCAAAGGACCCTCATGATCAGAGTGAGGCCTTTTACTTACGCATCTTTGAACTGAACTATAGTCCTGATCCACCATGAGGGGGACGTGCACTGACGGTGAAAACTGACGTTTCCGAGCCCAGAGTTTGTGTTCTGTCTCCTGCAGCAAGTCGGGAGGCCAGGGCTGCAGACATCTCCCCGGGGTCTGGGCACCCTCTCGGTGGACAGCTAGCTTGGTCCACGTGTGATGTGAAACGCCCTGCCAGTGCTGCCCTCAGGCCCTCCCTACACACCACCTGCCAGCCTGCCCCGGGGCACTGCGGGAAAGAAGCTTCGGGGCCAGCCTGTTGTGGCTGCCTCTGATGCGTCCTCCTGCTGAGCACTTGGGGCAGGCCGGTGGCCACCCAGCACCCTCGGCTAACTCTCTCTTCTGCTCTGCAGAGAGGAGGAAATAAATAAGGGCTGCAGCTTTACACTCCCCAGAGAAATTCTCCCCTGAGGTTTTTAGGGAGGAAATCTTCCTTTACATGATCACTAATCACAGTCCTGTCTTCTACGTCTGATAGTCTGTCATCACATTGGCTCATTCTGCTGCACATACTTTCACTGGGATTTTTAATGTCCTGGGTCTCTTCTTGGATCTGTTTCATAGTTTCCATCATTTTCCTAAGCTTCTCTATTTTTTTATCTGTGTCTGCTGTAGAGTCTCTAGCCAGGTCTTTCATTATGGTCACCATCTCTGTAGTTGTCTCAGAAATTATTTCTGACTTGATTTTTTCTAGAGGCTCACTCATCTGCTTTGTTACCACTTCAGAGAGTCCCACCTCATGGCCCCTGGGTTTGTCTTTGGTGAGCTGGAAGGCTGGGGCTGCATCTTGCTTAAGTGTCTTCTTTTTCTTTCTGTCTGTCTTTCTTTTTTGTTTAGTTTTATTCCTGGGTTAATCCTTGTAAATTGCTTAAGGCAAGTAGTTTATTGCTAGTATTCACAGCTCTTAGGAAATGACTGCTTCTCAGAGATGTCTTCCAGGTGTAGATGGCTTTTGGTTCTGAGACTGCTGCAAGATCCTACCTCTTCAATTTATTGGGGATGAGAAGCTGCTCATTTGGCCTAGCCCCTGGTTCTTTGGCACTGGCCTGTAGTACTGTTTATGACCCTCAGGTGGTCTCAGTCTTGGTGTACCAGGAAGAAAAACTGATTAGAACAGTTATGTCACCTTGGCTAAAGTGGTACAGTCAGCAATAACAATAGCATCAAACACAGCCTAGAAAATGACAAACTGTGGTAACTATTGATTTGCCACCTTTAACCGTGTAAACTGTTTGTGGTTATATAACAAAGTCTGTAACACACCAGAACATTGTAAATAAATCCTCAATATGGCAATTTTACCCTCAGGAGAGGAAATTTAAAAGGCGTTAGAGGGGTAAAAGAGAGAAATAGAAGAAGAGTAAGAGATTAGAAGCAAGGCTAGAGGACAAAGGAAAATTATGCAAACTTCAGGAAAACGGTGAAGAAGATAGGAGGGAAAGAGAAAAGGAAGAAATAAAAACAAGAACAGAACACCAGAAAGCCAGAAACAGTGGTCACATGCATATAAAAGCAAGAACAAACAATGAAGAGAAAAAAAACAAAAAGAAGAAAAGGAAAATTTAAAAAATGTCCACTTCAGGGTGTGTCTCTGCTGTCACTGAGAGACAAAGTAGACAGGTAGAGCCTGGGTCCATGCTGATTAATCCCATCAAGCTTTATGGTGGGGCAGTGAATAATCCTAGCAAGGCTGCACTTGTTCCACTGAAGTTCAGGCTGGTTTCTGGCTGTGAGGCTGGAACCCAATTTGCTCAGCCTGCAGCTCTGTGTGTTCCTCCTGCCAGCTTGCACTCTGCTCCCTGTGGCCTGAATTTGGCTCTTTGACCTCCTGCCAACTTGAACTCGGCAGCTTTGCCCTGACACTGGGAGCCGCTGAATGGAGCCAGCCCACAGCTGTTTTGTGTTCTGGGCTGAGTTGGTACCTCTCCCAAGATGGCTACCAGCCAGTTGCCCTCTTCAGCAGGACATCTGAACCTGAGTAACTCCCCAGCCGCTGCAGTCTGTCGCGTCCACTGCTCCATTCCATGGCAGGTTTCTCTGTGCAGGCCTCTGGGGTCGCCGGTAGTCCCCGTGCGCCTGAAGGTTTGAGCCGGCCGTCCCGCACGGTGAGTCAGGGCTCGGGAAACCGCTCACTTCTCGCCACCTCCCTCTTGTGTGTGGAGGTCTCTCCACTCTCCCTGTGGGCTTCAGCTCTCACCTGAGCTCCTTCCTGGGTGCTGGGGACCACATCCGTCTTCCTCATGGCCATTCTCCAGCATCTGGACACCAAGTCTCAGACTGTTCATCCTGTTCACCACCCTGCCTTCCGGGTTCTGCCCCTCGGGGAGGGGCGCTTCTCTTTTGAGTGTGTGGGTTCAGGGTGATTGCTGCAGAGTACAGGGCTGTTCACTGAGAAGCTGACTCGGTTACCCGCCTTCAGAGACTGGGGTGCCCTTTTCTAGAGGTTGCTTTCCCAGCCTGCCTTCCTGGATGGCCTTGTGGTCAGCAGCTTCAGGCCGGCTTCTCCCCAGTGCTTTCTGCCTGTCTGCTGGGTTAGGGGCCCGTTTTTAATTTTGACTGTAGTTTTTGTGCCGTCAGCTTTCATGGTGTCTGCAGAGTCCCTCTGCTGGTCTGGTCTGCTCTGTGGCTCGCGCTTGCTTCTCTCTCTTACAGGTGGCCCTTCGAGTATTTCAGTTTTCTCCCCCAAACTATCACTGCCTGTTTTCTTTCCAGTTTTCAGATTTGGGGCTGTCAGGGCTCTACTTACTGAATTGTTCTTGACACAAACAAATCGTGAAAGTAGGGCCGCTGCCTTGGGTTGCGTGTGGGTTGTTGTGTCTGTTCACTGGGGTTTGCCGTGCAGCCTGGGCTCTTTCCTCCAGGGCAAGGCTCACAAACTTATTTGACTGCACACCCCATTAGGATAAAAATGTTCAGCACACACCTGCAGTTGATCTGTGGGTTGTATACACGTAGTGCCATCACTAGCTGCAGCCCCTGGGACGTCACATACACCGGAGTGAATGGAGCTCGTTATGACCACAGTGGACATACCTCTGCTTTGCACGTCGTAGTCCCTCTTTCTATTCTCTTTGGCCAACTTCTTCATGGATCTGATTTCTTCATAAGCAGCAGGCGAGGAGCTGTCACCTCTGCTATTTCCTGATGCTTGCCTTATTAGTAATAAATGAAATCTGTGGAGCTTCTTTACACCTTCTGTCCATCTTGTAAGAGTGAGTGAGTGAAAGCGGACAGCACAGTCCGCATATGGAACCTCCCAGTACAGTAACAGCAAGAACAGGTCTCCCCAGCGCCCCGCGCAGTCCCCGCAGCATAGCCCTCTGGCCACTCTGGGAAACCTTTCCCACGTCCTTCACAAGGCCTTCAGCCATGTGAGCTGAGCGAAGATGTCAGTAACAGTCTGGGTAGTAAACATTAGAAAAGCATTTTTCATTATTATTTGTAGAATAAAAATTGAAGTTTTAATTTTTCCACTCACACTGATGAATTAGTTTTCTCGCACATTCCCTAGGGTGTACACACCCTTCTGTGGTGACTGTTGGTTTACAAGGAGGTGTGCAGTTTAGGGCTGAGGCCAGCAAGGAGTAATACGTAGACCAAGCTCTGCAAAGCTGGCTCTAAGCCCAGCTGGTGGGAATAGAACGGCAGTGACAGGCTTACGTGTTCAGCTGCATAGACTGCTCAGTACTCGTAGCAGCTCATTCTGAAATTCCTACTTGTGATGCATAGAAAAGACAGGCATAGGGTCCGTCTCTCAAAGAAGTAATGTTTCGGAGAGTGACTGCATCCCTGCAAGCCCAAAGTCACTTGGTCGTTTCTCTAGAATTTGAAGAAAGGAACTCAAATGGGCTCTAGATCTCCTGTCGACTGAATTTTACAATGAGAGAGAATAGGTTTGAATCACAACTAAATGAATTTTCAGAAAGTTTATGTGATTGACAAAGCATTTGTGCTTTGCAAAGCCTTCACTGAAATGAGGGGTTTTACTGTGTTTGGATGATTTCAGCCATTCTTTAAACTTCATCATTTATTCACACAGTGCGTTCATTCATTCATTCATTCATTCATTTTGCTGTACTGGGGACCAGATCCAGGGCCTCACACGTGCTCGACAAGGGCACTCTAAGTTACACCACTAAGTTACAGCTCCCTCACCCCTCTTTTTTTTTTTTTCATTTTGAGACAGGGTCTCACTAAGTTGCCCAGGCTGGCATTGAACTTGTGATCCTCCTGCCCCAGCCTCCTGCACAGCACAGTTACAGGCATGCGCCACCATGCCAGCTGCAAAGTGCTTTTATTTAACCGGCTCCTTTGATGCTCAGAACGTGTGTATAAGTAGGTAGATGTGGGTCCACTGCACAGGCATGGAAGCCCTACCTGGAAAGTGGGTCGACTTGTTGGCTTTGCTCCCCGCAGAACTAGTGCCAGCATGGGGACTTCTTCCCCAGGTGAAATCATGTTCTTTTACCCTGTGGGAAATTCCCCGGGTGCTTCTCACTTGGCATCTATAAAACACTGTAAACTTTTAAAAACACTTTTCCCTGTTGACTTGCAGAAGTTTTTCCTATATTTTCAGCCCCTTTGATGGTAAGAAGTCTCAAGCCACGTTCAGTAACAGTGGTCTCGTGTTGTAAGCACTGTGTCCCTCGTAGCAATGGAAACTTTTTCTGATGACAGTTTCTCCTGCCACATTAGCTTGCTGTGAAGCCCCGAAACGACACCCAGGATTTGGATGCAGATATATTTCACGTTGATGGACCTGATAGGGATTCATCACGCACCAAAACACCAGGACCCGATCCTTGGTAGTTTGGGGCTCTTATGGGCTAAGCAAGCGGGAAGTACAGAAGCAGAGTATTTGGCGGTTATTGATTGGTTACAGCTTACATTGTTATTACTGATTAAGTGAAGACTACGTCATTTATATCGCAAGTATGTAAGTTCAAACTCCCGGCAAGCTCGGAGTTACGGGAAGCACACAGGCTCAGGGCGGGGGCAGGCTCAGAATTTGCAGGAAGCAAGTGCTTGAGACGTACAAGTTCAGGGTGTGGTCTGTTAGATGAGGGAAATATGCTCCTAGTGTTGGTGGGAGACAGGAAGACAGGTCTGCTCAGGGAGTAGTTAGTTGCAGGAATTTTAACTGTAAAAAGTTAACTATTTTCCTCTTCAGCCTACTTCAAGCTGAAGTGCCCACAGAAGGCACAGGTCTCCAGCACTCGCTCTTCTCCCTCCCTGGCAGGCCCTTCGGGCATTTGCAGGTGCGACTAGACGCTCCAAGGCTGTGCCCCACAGAGGCCACTGGAATGGCCTCAGCAAGGACCCTTTCATGCGGTTTTTTCCCTTTCTTCCCTTGTGGGAAGGAGATTGTGGGGCCCCACCATGCTCCCACAATCCTTTCTGGCCTCTTCAGCCCCTGTCCTAATTTTTCCACATACCAGAGGTAGCTCTTTGGCTGCCATCTTGGCTGTCCCTAGTGGATAGTCCTGGGCGCTGGAATGTGGGCACGTATGCCAGGGATTCTTTGGTTACAGCCTTTGGGCCACTGCCAGCTGAGTTCCATTTTAACCTGTTGTGATCCCAGGCGCGAACCAGACCTATCGGGCCTTCACACGCACTGTTGTCAGTGCCTCATGTAACTCCAGATTGCCCAATTAGAACTACAGTTCCAAGGAGATAAAAAGCCGGCCCAAGATTCATTATTTCTTTTTATGAAAAACCTCTGTCTTTAATTTTTGATAGTTTTTAGGAAGTAATAGCAAAATGGAAACCTTGCAGTCTGAATTTCTCCGCCAACAGAATGAACGCTGGTCTAGCTTCGAAGCCCTGACCACACATATCTCCCGACTCCTTGGAGTGAGTGATCCACCGTCTTGGATGCCTGTCTCGGAGGTGAACAGTGGCCCTGCCACTGACTTCACAGAATAACGGCAGGAAAACTCTCACAGGGTCCCAGAGTGACCTCTGCCTTGTAGCAGAGACGCTTCTGCCGTTGGCGTCTCCCTGAGGTGGCCTCAGCTATCTGTAAGCCAGCTCTAATTTCCACACTGTGGTCTTGCACTAAGAGAATCTATTCATTTGGGGCCCGTCCTCGTCCCTGAGTCCCAGGGGAGCCAGAGCCTGCCCAGAGGCCGTGCTTCGCACCGATTCTGCCCAGCTCCCCCTCTTGCCGTTGCCGTGTATTAGTTTTCACTGACAGCAGTAGACTCCTGCTGGTCTCTACAGTTTTCCAAGCAGCTGTGGAGAATAAAGTTTTATTCTCCTCCCATTTTTGAGGAACAAGAAGTGCGTGTGTGGTTATGTGATCAGAAATGCCATGCAACGGAAGAAGCCCACAGCCAGCATCCCTCAGCCAGCCGGCTCCGGACCCCTCGTAACGCAGCCAGCTGTGCCAGGGCTGCAGCAGCCGTCTTTCGCCCGCTCCCTGCCCAGGGGTGTGTTCAAACTGGGTTAACTAGGAATTTAGTCAATTATATGTTAAAGGCATTTTGACCCCTGTGATAAATACCAGTAAAGGTGGTTGGCAGAAAACTGGCAGGTTGCTTTTATGACCACCCTCACACCAGTTCAGATGGAATATTTAATATAAAATTATCTTTTACATAATAGCTTTATGTGGGAGTCATTTAGATCTCTGCAATTCAGTTTTTAGAAGTCTTACAAAGAAGTGAGCCAGTTTACATATCTGTAATCCCAGCTATTCAGGAGGCTGAGACAGGAGGATCACAAGTTCAGGCCAGTCTGCGCTACCTAGTGAGACCCTGTCTCAAAAAGAATTTTTTTTTAAAGTGTCACAGAGCCCTGAGTAAAAAAACAAGGACTCATTAAGTTAGTTCTGATATATGTAAAGCTTCTCAGTACAGCTGAGGCTTGAGGTGCTAAATACTTTATTTTCTGGCTAGCTGAAGGGAAATAAAGAAATGCCTTTCAGTGTCAGTTTTGTTTTGTTTTGAAATCCTTCTGAAATGTGTTGGTTTTTTTCTCTGAGTTAGGTCCTATGGAAATCTGTATTTGGTATTCAGGGATATTACAGTGCCCAGCTCTCATTATAAATATGCATTCTTTTCTACAGCATTATAGAACTAAGTGATACAGAAAATGAAGCAGCGACTTGGGGCCCAGGTCCTTGGTGGAGTGCTTGCCTAGATGTACAAGGCCCTGTTTGATCCCTGGCACTGTGAAAGCATATTTAGCGGAATCTACCTTTTCTCCCCGCTTGAATTCCCGATTCAAATTTGTTTTCTTGTTCTGTGGTCTTTCTCTTTGTCCTAGAGCACAGTAACAAGTCCAGATGACTGAGAGCCTGGGTGTTAAGATTCTGCATTATCAGGGTGTAAACCTCTATTGGGTTTCAAGAGAGCAGGACTACAGTGAGCCCTTTTCCTTTGAGATAGTAAAGCATGTAGTACTAGAACGATTATCTCTGAAAGTATATAAATTTTACTTGAAAGAGGGGACTTTTGTCCCGTAAACGTAAATAATTACAGCTCACTTTTGTAGAATGAGTAATACATGCTGAGCAGTCTCCTAAACATTCTGATAACCAGCGTCTCATTTCCATGGCAGCTTGGTAACATGCCATTATTTCTCCTTCATAGATTAGAAAACTAAAGCTTAGGGAGGTCAAGCAGCTTTTCTGAGGCCACATAAGATCAAAGCCGGGTCTGCTGTTTCCGAGCCCTGTACTCTGCAACCCCAGCCCCCGGGGAGGTGATCGTAGAGGCTGGAAGTCTAAGCCAGAGGATGCAGCTTCTGCTTGCGCGCTGATTGCCGGCGGCCTGTGCTCGGCGCTCGCTTGCTTTGACCCCCGTGCCCCACGTACCAGGTGTGGGACTGGGCCGGAACTGGGTTTCTCACTGTTCCTCAGAGCCTCGCCCCCCCGCAGCCTCATTAGGCTGCCTCTTTTTTGACCTTCAAACACGGGTTCTACATAGGATGTTGGAGGGAGGCTTCCATTGCTAAAAAGAAATCTCATTAAAGCAACCAGTAAAAAGCAGAACAGTGAACCATTAACTGCGTGGATCTCTTGTAAGCGTGAGATTTTTTTTTCCAGACAGGGTCTCACTTTGTAATTCAGACTCACCTCAAACTCACAGCAGTCCTCCTGCCTCTGCCTCCCAAGTGCCTGCACCACCACACCTGGCCAGCTTGAGATTCTATGACACTGGAGATTCTATTTTGGTACAAAGTAACTTCTTCCATTTCTAGGGAAGAGAAGTGCCCCACGTTTTCTCTTGATCAAAGATGTCATGATCCTACCAAGCAGAGTCCCGTAGGCATGGGCACATTTTTGTGTCAGGCAGGAATGCTTCACGAACCTACACACCTCCAGGTGAAGGGCGAGGAGCTGGCACAGCTCAGGTTCACAGCAGACCCCTCCATCTCTCCCTGCAGAGAAGCCAGTGCTCCAGAGCAGGCACTCTCTGGATGGCTCCAGACTCTCGGAGAAAGGGGAAACGGCGCAGCCGCTGTGGGTAACGCTAGCACTGCAGAAGCAGAGGGGCTTTCGTGAGCAGCAAGCCACCCGCGCGGAGAGGAAGCAGGCCCGGGAGGCCAAGCAGGCAGAAAAGCTCTCCAAAGAGAACGTGAGTCGCATGCTTCTCAGCTTTCATTTTACTGTCCCAAACCCAGCTCTCTTAGGTCACAAGGATTGATTGGAAAAAACCCAAGGGTGGAGGTGGAGTTTATGAAGGCCGTAACGGTAAATAAATCACGTTACGCTGAAATCAGGGAAGCAGCTCAGTATGAAGTTCGATGTGGTTTCGGTCTGCTCTTGGGTGAACTCGCTTTGCAGAACCCGTGCTGTACTTGCAGCAGTGACCCCACGGAGCGCCAGCTGGGGCAGCCCCTCCACCCTGAGCTCTCCCTTTCCACGGGTTCTGTTACTGAAGGCCAGCCGTGGGCCGGAGGCTCTGGATGGAAACTTCAGAACTAACCGTCCATGCATTTGAAATTGTGTTCTGAGTGGCAGGTGGAAGTGCACGCTGCCCAGCGCAGCCCTCCGGGACACGGTTCTCTGTCTAGCATCTGTCCGCTGTCGCCCCGCCCCTCTGGTGCTCTCAGTGACCAGGCTGACCAGCACAGTAACCCTTGTGTTCGGGCCACCCCTGCTTTAAGAGCGGCCCCCAAACAGAAGGTTAGTGAGTCAGACACACAAGAGAGGCTGTGACGTGCTTCCTTTGTACGGAAAGGGAAAACCCCTGACCTCATAAAGGAGAAACGCCACGTGCGGAGGTTGCTGAGGTCTAGGGTGGAGGTGAAGCGTGGCGTCTGCAGCGTTCAGCGCTGTCCACGGCTTCAGGATCTTAAAATACATCCTTCGTAGATAAGGGAGCACTATTGCCTGTGAGAAATAGATGATTTCACTTAAGCAGTGGGCAGGGTAAACTCCAGAGCCTTGTCCTGTGGCTGGACCAGTCAGCTTACCGCGGCTGTCCTAGGAAGGCGGCTCCGTCACTGGCCCGCGGAGCTGCCCGGGCTGAGCACACGCGGCTGTCCCGTGCAGGTGGCCCTTCCTCCGGGCGGGGGCCGGCACGGGTCCTGGGACCGCGTGGCGGCGGGCTCGGTCTGTGTGAGGTTGGGAACACACCTCCCGTCTCTGCCCACCAGACCAGCGCCGGCGCACAGCCTGGCAGCGGCAGTGTCCGCAGAGCAGGTTCACTGCAGAAGTCTGCGGCTCAGCCAGAGGAGAAGCCGGAGACGGCCGCGTCCCGGCTTGAGCGCCGAGAACAGCTGAAAAAGGCCAACACCCTTCCGACATCCGTGACAGGTAGGGGCGGGCCCGTTTCTGCTTCTCTTTGGTTACGGGTGTCTCAGGACAGGCTTTTTTCCGGCAGTGTAATAGCACAGCTTCGGAGGCCACAGGCTCATGGCCCCCTTCATGACCTTCGGGACCAATAAAGCTAATCTGATGAGGGCCGGGAGACACTCCTCTGCTGTCAGCAGCTTCATGTGAAAGGTCTGCAGCTCCTGCAGGACTGGAGAGGCCCCTGACTTGCAGCACTTGCCGTATCCTGTGGCGTAAATACTGCCACCGTGGCCAGTTCCCAGCAACAGCGTGCCGTCAGCGGGCTCACTAGGTGCACGGACGTTCAACAAGACAGTGTGAGCCGTCTGCACACCTCCACCTGCAGTCTGACAAAGCTGACACAGGAGGAGATGGAGGACGGTGGGACTGGGGGAGGGTGGAGCTTAGGTACAACTGAAATGGAGCAGCGATTTGATAGGCTTAGAACGAAGGGTAGAAAGAAGCCATGCTGAGTAGACTCAGGATCCTGCTTCTTTGGAACCTGCAAAGTGAAATGTGTGAAATCTTCCATCTAAGTGCACCCCAACCCCGCCCGCCCCGAGGCTCTGCGCCTAGCTTGGGAACGGAAGCTGCTCCTCTGTCAGTGACCCACGTGGCTGCTCCGGGTCCGTTCTAACTGACGTGATTTCAAACAGCAAGTTCCTGACAGTCCGACTTTCACAGGAGGGTTTCCCACAACCAGGTCTAGGATACTAAGTAACAGCAGCAGTTTGCATATGTTCATAACATAACAGTTACTCATTTGAAAAATTCTGTTAAAAAAGAAAATTGTCCAATGGCTTCCAACTATTTCCTTGTTACAAATTACTTGGTATATACTTTTTTTGTATATGATATTGTGGTTGTATATATTGTTTACTTTTTATTTTATGATACACATAAAAACATTCATCATAGGGAGTTTGTACCTGTACATACATGATACATTCTGCTTTGCTTATTTTTCCGTTGCCCTCGTCTCCCTGCAACCCCTCTTCACCTCTCTATTTACAGAACCGTTTTTCCCTTTTCCCTTCTGTTCTTTTCCCCTGTCCCCCCCTCCCTGTTCCTCCTCTCATTTGAACACTTCCCATTTCCCAAAATCTGTTACACAATTTGGTCCTTATGTACACTTTCTGTTTCTCACACCAGAGAAACCCTGTAATACTTGAACATGTGTGTCAAATTTCACTTAAGGTATGGTTTCAGGGTACATCCATTTAGCTAGAGATGTCTCAAGTTTATCCTTCTTCATGCCATAGTACTCCACTGTATTAAAAAATAAAAAACACATCTTCCTTATCCATTCATTGGTTGATGGGCATTTGGGCTACTTCCAAGATTCACTGTTATAAACCGTGCTGCTATAAATGTGGGTACACATACATTGCTGTGGCATCGTGCTTTTAATTCATTCAGGAAGATACCAAGAAGGGGAGTAGCTGGGTCAAATGGAACCTCTAGTGTTAATTTTTTGAGGAATCTCCACAAAGATTTCCATGGTGGTTGTACCAGTCTACATTCCCACCAAGAACGGAGACTTTCCTTTTTCCCTACAGCCCCACCAGCATTTGTTATTGGTTGAGTTCTTCATAAGAGCCATTTTTCTGAAGCAAGATGGAATCTCAGCATTGTTTTCATTTGCATCTGTCAATAACAGTAATGTTGAGCATTTTTTCATTTATTTGTTTGCCATTTCTACTTCATCTGAGGAGTGTCTGTTCATTTCACATGCTGGTTTTTGCATTGGGTCTTTAAATTTGGGGGGGGTCTGATTTTTTTGAGTACTTTATATATTCTAGATATTAGTCCTTTGTCTGAGGAACAGCTGACAAAAATTTTTTCCCACACTGTGGACTGTCTCTTCACTGTCATGGTTTCTTTTACTGTGCAAAAGCTTTTTAATAATATGAGATCCCAGTTGCTGATTCTTTGTGGTACTTCCAGTCTGATTGAGGTTTTATTCATAAAGTCTTTGCCTACACCAGTGTCTTCAAGAGTTCTACCTATTGTGTCTTCCAACAGATTTAGTGATTCTATTTTAATATTTAGATTTTTGACGCATTTTGACTTTAGTTTAGTGCATTGTGAAAAATACGGGCCTAGTTTTAATCTTTGGCACGTGGAAAGCCAGTTTTTCCAGCACCCCTTATTAAAGAGGCTATCTTTCTTCCAGTGACGGGGTTTGGCTCTTTTGTCAAAGATGAGGTGGCTCAGTGTGTTTGAAGTTGTTTCTGCATCTTCTAATCTGTTCCACTGGTCCTCAGGTCTGCTTTTTGCCAGTACCATGCTGTTTTTATCACTGTAGCTTTGTAGTGTAACTTCAAACCAGGGATTGTGATGCCTCCTGCCTTGCCTTTGTTGCCAAGAATTGCTTTTGCTATTCTAGGTTCCAGATGAATTTTAGGATTGTTTTCTCTAGTTCTGTGAGATATGCTATTGGTATTTTGATTGGGATTGCATTAAATCTAACAATTAAATAACAATTTTGAAAGCATGGTCATTTTCACTGTATTGTTTCATCCTACTCAAGAACAAGGGATATCTTTCCATTTTCTGATATCTTCTTTCTTCTTCTTTTCCAGGTTACTGAAAATTTTCAATGTAAACATAAAGGTCTTTTTTACTTCTTCACTAAATTGATTCCTAGGTATTCCATTTTTTTATGTTATTTTCAAAAGTGTTCTTTCCCTAATTTGTCTCAGTGAGTTTGTTATTTGTGTACAGGAATGCTCTTGACTTTTAGGTGTTGATTTTGTATCCAGCTACATTACTGATTATTAAACCTAAAAGTCTTTTCGAACGGGGCATGGTGGTGCACGCCTGTAATTCCAGCACTTGAGAGGCTGAGGCAGGAGGATTGTGGTGAATTTGAGGCTAGCCTGGGCTACAAAGTGAGTTCAAGACCAGCCTGAACTGCATAATGAGACCCTGTCTCAAAAAGACCAAAGAAAAAAAGTCTTTTCGTGGAGATTTTGGGGTCTTCTATGTAAGGCATCATGTCATCTGCAAATAATGACAATTTAACTTCTTCTTCTCCTATCCTTATTCCTTTTATCTCTTTCTCTTGTCTAATTGCTCTGGCTAATGTTTGTAGAACTGTATTGAATAAGAGTGGTGCCAGTGGGCATCCTTGTCTTGTTCCTGATTTAAAGAGTGAAAGCTTTCAGTTTTTGCCCATTTAGGATGATGTTAGGTATTGGTTTGTCATAGATGGCTTTTACCAGACTGAGGCCATCTATTCCAATTTTGTGTAGGGTTTTTGTCATGAATGGGTGTTGGACTTTGTCAGATGTTGTTTCTGCATCTATTGAGATGATCATATGATTTTTGTTCTTTGCTCTGTTACTATGGTATATATTATGATAATCATATCAATACATTATGATTTGTGTAAATAAATCATATACATTACGATTTGTGTATATTGAACTACTGAAGCCTTTGCCTAGCCCCAGTCTCCTAAATGAGTAGACAGCAAACAGCCTGAATAAGAGACAAGTGACATGATTTTCTAGGGCTCCAGAAAGATCAAAACCCTCTAAAAGAATCTGAGATTCCCTGGGGGTTGAGACAAAGAACTTCTCTGGGAAGCTCATGTTTATTTGATTTTTAAACAAAAGAATGGGATACTGAGGCACGTGCAGGAACTGAGCAGGATCTTGGGAGTCAGTTCAAAGACTTCTCTAAGTATTAAACATTGCCCATTAAGAGAACTGTTTGATCTCTAAGGTTGGCAGCTTTATTGCTCTGAAATAGCAGCTCTCTCCTTGGCTACCACCCTCCGCTGTGGTGTTTATCTTGACCTCAGAGCACTACGCCTATGCCCTTTTCCAACACAGACAGAGCCCCGGTATCCAACACCAAACCATCCCTACAGACCTGGGATGAATCCTACTTGGTCATGGTGTATAATCTTCTTTTTTTTTTTTTTGAGACAGGGTTTTGCTATGCAGTTCAGGCTGACCTTCAGCTCACTTTGTAGCCCAAGCTGGTCGTGAACTCTCAATGATCCTCCTGCCTCAGCCTCCTGAGTCCTGGGATTATAGACATGCACCACTAATGGCCAGCTAATCTTGATAGTTTCCTGCATTCTGGTTGCCATATCTTACTGAGGATTTTTGCATCTATGTTCATTAGGGAGATTGGCCTATAGTTCTCCTTTTTGGTTGGACCCTACTCTGGTTTGGGTATCAAGGTAATGCTTGCTTCCAGGAATGAATTTGGGAATACTGCTTCTCTTTCAGTTTCATAAAAGAGTTTGAGAAGTAGAGGCATTGGGTCTTCTTTAAATTTCTTATAGAATTCAGCAGTGAATGCATCAAGGCAGGGGGGTTTCTTTATTGGTAGGTTTTTCCTTACCTCTTCAATTCCATTGAGTAATACTGGTTTATTTAGAAATTTATGTCTTCTTCATTCAGCTTTGGTAATTCATGTGTATCTAGGAATCTGCCCATACAGGTTCTTGAAATAAGTATTGATGATCTTTTGGATTTCTGTAGGATCTGTTGTGATTTTACTCTTTTCATTCCTAATTGCATGGATTTGAGTCTTTTTTTAAATAAGGTTGTCTAAGGGTTTGTCAGTTTGATTGATCTTTCAAGGAATGAAGTCTTTGATTCATTGATTCTTTGTATTGTTTCCTTAGTCTCCACTGCATTAATTTCTGGTCTGATCTCTCTAATTTCCTCCCTTGTCTGATCTTTGAGCTTGACTTGCTCTTCTTTATGTACAAGTTTGAAGTTCAACATTAGATTATTTGAAGTTGAATTTTCTGATATGAAAATTCACCACTATAAATTTCCCTCCTAGGACTGTTTTCATTGCGTCCCATGAGTTCCAGTATGTTGTACTGGCATTATCATTTAATTGTAGAAACTCTAATTTCTTCAGTCTGTGACCCATTGTTGTTTAGGAGGGTGTTATTTAGTTTCCCTGCGTTTATGAAGTTCTTGTGGTTTTTTTTTTTTTTGCCATTGATTTCCAATTTCATTGTACTATGGTCTGATCAAATGAATGGGGTAATTTCACTTCCTTTGCATTTGCATAAGTATGTTCTGTTAGCTAGTATGTGGTCTATTTTTGGAGAAGGTCCCATGTGCATTTTAGAAGAATTTGTATTCTGGTGTTGTTGGGTAGAACACTTTATAGATATCTAAGTCTGTTTGTTCAAAAGTTTGGTTTTAGTTCTGATGTTTCAGTGTTGATTTTTTTTTTGTCTAGTTGATCTGTTTGTGACAGTGGGTATTGAGGTCCCCTATTACCATTGCATTAGTGTTTATTTGATTTTTCATGTTCATTAATATTTTTAATATACTTGGTTATGCCTGTATTTTGTGCATATATGTTTATGATTGTTATCTGTTCCTCTTGGATAGTTTCCTTTACACTCTGCTGCATATTCTTTCAATGGAATTTTTAATCTCCTGGATATCTGTTTGAATCTGTTTCATGGATTCCATTTCTTTCCTATGTTGGGCATTCATGGTTTCAATAGTTTTCCTAAGCTCCTCTTTTTTTTTTTTTTTATCTGTATCTGCTCTAGTATCACTAACCTAGTCTTTCATTATGATCACCATCTCTGTAGTTGTCTCAGAAATTATTTCTGATTTGATTTTTTCTAGAGGCTCACTCATCTGCTTTTGTTACTTCCACTGTTACCACTTCAGAGAGTCCAGGTGGGGGAGGCTTTTGAACTGTCCCACCTCAGGGCCCCTGGGTTTGTCTTTGGTGAGCTGGAAGGCTGGGGCTGCATCTTGCTTAAGTGTCTTCTTTTTCTTTCTGTCTGTCTTTCTTTTTTGTTTAGTTTTATTCCTGGGTTAATGCTGCTCATTTGGCCTAGCCCCTGGTTCTTTGGCACTGGCCTACAGTAGTGTTTATGACCCTCAGGTGGTCTCAGTCTTGGCATACCAGGAAGAAAACTTATTAGAACAGTTATGTCACCTTGGCTAAAGGAGTACAGTCAGCAATAACAATAGCATCAAACACAGCCTAGAAAATGACAAACTGTGGTAACTATTGATTTGCTACTTTTAACCATATAAACTATGTTTGTGGTTATATAACAAAATCTAAAACAAACCAGAAAATTATACACAGTAAGTAAGCCCTCATTATGTTGATTTTACCCTTACAGGAGAAAGTTTAAAAGGGGTTAGGGAGAAAAAGTAGAGAAATAGAAGAGTAAGAGATTGGAAGCAAGGCTGGACGACAAAGAAACTATGCAAACTTTGGGAAACTGGTAAAGAAGACAAGAGGGAAAAAGAGAAGGAAGAAATATAAACCAGAACAACAACAAAAATTATAGAAACCATGTTCATGCTCATAAAAATAAAGACAATGAAAAAAAATACAAGAAAAAAAATTGTCCACTTTAAGGCATGTCTTTGCTGTCACTAGCAGAGAAGGCGGACAAAACCCAGATAGCCAGCCGTAGCTTTATGGGAAGGTAGTGGATAATGCCAGGAAGACTCTGTCTTTAGTTCCATTGAAGCTCAGGCAGGTTTCTAGCTGGGAGGCTGGAACCCAGTTTGTTCAGCCTGCAGCCCTCCATGTGCCTCCTGCCAGCTTGAACTCAGCAGCCTCACCCTGACACTGGGAGCTGCTAGGTGGAGCCAGCCCACAGCTGTTCTGAGTTCTGAGCTTGTTTGGCCCCTTTCCCAAGATGGCTGCTGGCCAATTGCCTGCTCCTGGGGATATCTAAACCCAAATAACTCACCAGCCACTGCAGTCCTCCGTTGCATCCACTGCTCCATTCCACTGGTGCATTTCTCTGTGGAGGCCTCTGGGGTCGCCGGGAGTCACCGTGCGCCTGCAGGTTTGAGCCGCCCCTCCCGCACAGGGAGTCAGGGCTCGGGAGAAAGCTTCACTTGCCACTTCCTTCTTCCTCATTGCAGTCTCTGTCAGTGCTCTCCCTGTGGCGTCAGTTCTTGCTTCAGACCTTTCCTGGGTCCCAGGGACCCACCTCTCTCCTCCTTCTCTTTGTGTTACGTGGTGACAGTGTTTTGCAGAGGGCATCTTCCTTAGTCCGTTTTCTGCTGCTTTACCAGAATACTTGAGAGTGGGTTCTCCCTAAAGGGTTTTATCTTAGCTCATATATCAGAAAGATATGAAGTCCAAGACTGGGCAGCTGGATCTAATGAGGCCCTGTGCCACTTCTGCTTATAATGGGAAGTGGATGGGCCGGGGGTAAGCTTGTGGTAACTAACCTCTTCATCCAAGAAAGGCAATAATCTATTTGTGAGGGCTACCTCCATGTCTCAGGAACCTCCCCATCTCCCTGTACTGCCACTGAGGAGGAAGTAAGGTTCCAAGACATGAACTCTTGGGGGACACCCCCAAACCACAGTAGCATCCAACCCTCAGACCTTGGTTTTGTATGTCCTGGTTAACCTAGCTGAGGTCTGGGAATATGACATCTTAGCATTTACTACTTGGCAGGGTGGTAGTAGGGGCAGCTTACACTTGATAGATGAGATTGGGTGTGTTCAGGGAGGCATGGCCGTAGACAGAGGCACTGTATGTTCGAAAGCCACTTTAAAGCACTTACTTGTCTACAACCTCCACACCCATTCTTTGATTTGATCTTACACACAAGAATTAACGGCTGTGTTTTTGTTGTTATTGTTGGTTTTTGTGGTGGTTGTTTGAGACAGGGTCTTGCTTTGTAGTTCAGGTGGCCTTGAACTCGCTATGCAGTGAGTTAGCCTTAAATTTGTGGCGATCCTCTTCTCTCAGCCTCCTGAGTACTGGGGCTACAGGCGTGTGCCACTATGCCCGACAGTGGCTCTAAATGTTGAAACCAGAAGTTTAGAAACGAGGAGAGGGAGAGAGGAAAGGGAAAGAAAATATGAGAATTTCTTTCAAAGTAAAGTGAAAACTCCAACACAAAGAGGTCATACTTTTGTCTGCCTGTTTGGAAATATGAGAGAGTTCTTGCAATCCAAATGGCCCCAGCTTATGAAAGCAAGTCTTTGTTTTGAAGTAATTGTCTTTTCAGTCAGTGTCTCCTGAGTTCTAGAAGCACACATGACCCAGAAAGATGAGAGCACTCTTACTTTCTCTCGGCAGCTGTAATGATGCAGAGACATTACGAAGCAGACTGCAAAGTACAAGAGCTGGCAGGCTCTGTGGGGCTCAGGCGGAGGAACCCAGGCCACTTGGTGGAGGAGGCACCTCCCTGTTAACCTTGCCGCCTTGACAGAGCCAAAGTGTTAGTGGGACCTTTTTCTTTATGGGACTGATGAGTCATATGACTGGGGTCACAAAATTTGCCTGTAATTTTCTTTCATGCAAACATAGATTCATTCCTTAGAAAGCTAAGCTTCTAGAAACTGAAAGGAGAATCAGCTGCACTGACTCTCTTATTCTGTATGTGACAGTCATAATCTAGGCTTGTTTTCCCTAGATGATCTCACCGAAGCTGCCTAGAAACTTACCTCTCTTGTGTTTCACTGGGTGTCTCTGTTTTGAATCTCGTATTTGTGATAAACCAAAATGTGGTTCTGAGTGGCGGTGCTGAGAGGTGGGTTAATAAGTTGAAGAAATGTATTGTGCAATTGGGTGACTACAGTATACAAAGATTGTGTTCTTGAAAAGTGCTGAGATTTTAAATGTTCTCTGCACAAACACGATAACCTTGTGAGGCAGCACATGCTAATTCATTCGCTTGACTTACCCATTCTACACTGTATGCCTGCTTCAAAACATCATGTTATACACAAGTATACACATTTCTGTTAATTAGAAAAAAATCTGACCCACTTTTCTCTTTTTCCTTTCCACCAAAATCCAGTGGAAATCTCAGATTCGGCACCGCCAGCTCCACTGGTGAAAGAAGTCCCCAAGAGATTCTCCACCCCCGACGCTGCCCCGGTGTCTACAGAACCAGCCTGGCTGGCTTTGGCCAAGAGAAAAGCAAAGGCCTGGAGCGACTGTCCACAGATCATTAAGTAGAGTGACCCGCCCATTCCTGTTGCCAGTTCTTGGCTCCTCTCTTGCCCTTTTTATTTATTTATTTTTTATATGAAGTAAAGAAAGCAAGGTAGGGGAAGGAAGCATGTTTTATAGGCGCTCAAGCAATGTTTAGAAATTGAGCTGGTGGTGTTCATTGTAAAGAGTGTATTTGCACAACCCTAGGTCCCGGTGCCTTGAGCTCCCCTAGTTCTCAAGAGACAGTTTTGTCTAAGGGACCATGTGAAGTTAAATCTGCAAACTGAGCTCCTCCCGAGAGTCCGCTGCACCCACGCCCCAACCCTCACCCTTGCAGAGGCACACCTCCTACAGGCCATTCAGACACGTACTTTCCCAATCTTCGTAAAGGTTTTTGATTCTCCTGGTTTCTTCTTTCTTTCTTTTTTTTTTTTTTTTTGGTTTTTCTCCGGTACCGGGAACCGAACTCACGGCCTTGCACTTGCCAGGCAGGTGCTTTTGCCGCTGAGCTAAGTCCCCAGCCCCTGGTTTCTTCTTTCGAAGGCATTTGCCTTACCATATGTTTGGGTCTGTCTGCCCTTCCTACAGTAAAGGTAAAAGGGTCATGTAGAGAGAAAACAAGAATGCCACCTTCTGAATGCAGGAAGTCACTGGAAATCGCAAAGGAGAGTCTGGCTCCCAGCTCTGTGCCTCTGTCCGCTTTCTGTACATCGCCCTCCCCAAAGCTGGGACATGGAAGCAAATCCATTCACACTTCTGCCGCACTGGATGCAGTGTGAGCAGCACACCGAGGCCCACTGTACTAGTACCCTCTCTAAGGACGTGAAACATTTGGCCCAATTGGCTCCTCGGGGCCACTTTTCTATAATATGGTAAAGAAAGAAAATTCCGTATCAGAGTTGTAAGAGCCCTCTCTCTCTGAGAATCTCCATCTAGTGCAGTGCTTCTTCAGATGTCCGGGCTGTGGCCCAGGCCTGCTCACCTGATGCTGTGAGGACAGGGCCGGGAGGGCACATGCTGGCAGACACTTCAGATGCTTTCTGGTTTGTCCCGAAGGTTGAACCCTTTGGATGCACTGATTCTAGGGTAATCCAATTTTCCGTACTCTGAGGGGAGTCTCATTCACCCAAAGAAGCAAAAGATCAGAAAAAAATAAAATAAGCATGCAAACCAGCCATTATTTAAAAATGTAACAGGCTACTGACACTGTATGTCTCTGAAAATTCCCTTGGGTCTTGAAAGAAAATTAAAAGGAACCCAAGATCTAGAGCCTTCGTACTAAAAGGTTTTTTTACTCTATTTGAGTAATTCATAGAGTCAGATGTTCAGTAGCATTTATAATCTAGCGCATTCACCTTGCTACCTTTAAAACAATCTCAGAGTTTTAAGTGGCCTTGTTGTCATACACATGTGCACTCAAAGAAGGGACTTGGTAGTTTCAAAGCCACATTTACTTTTATTTCCCTAAATTTGCTTTACATGAACCACAGATAAACCAGCAAACCCCTCCACACCACTGGCACCAACTTCCTATGTCATGGTATTCGCACATTTCCCTTTTCCTGGATTCTTACTCCCAAATATAGGTATAAATTCTTTGCTCAGTACAAGGCGAATTACATCCTTTTTTCTCATACAAAAACATATTTTATAGTATTCATCATTTCTTTATGCTTACTCAATATGCAGTGTGATGTTATGCTGTCATTTCCTTAAAGAATGACAGAAGAGTGATTTACCATATTCTTCCTAGAAACAGTGGCTCAGCTTCACTGTAGCAGCTGGCGTGTGTGGTCAATTGGATAGTTGTACTCCTGCAAGTTGGATTTAATGTTATATATACTGGACCTTCAGACTGTTAAGAATCAATGTAATATTTTCATTACTATTGGAAGCAAGTAATATTCCACTGCACGTTTTTCACACTGATGTTCATTTCTAAGTCTTATAAGTAGGCATTTGTTAGTTCAATGATTTCCTCACTAATATAACACTTCTTAATGGCAATCTCTCCACCTACAGTCCTGGAATTACAGTACTCCCATAATTCTTCCAAACTGACTTTTTCTCTCCTCCTATCAGTTTTAAACAGTACCACAGTAGTAACAGGGAACAGGTGAGGAAGTGAGATCATTGAAGAACGGTACATGAGTCAGCTGGCTCAGATACTACCTAGCCCAAGGCAGGAGATGGGCCTCTGTTAAGAGTGTTCCTTCAGCCAGGTACAGGGCCACATGCCGGTAATCCCAGCTCTCTGGAGGCTGAGGCAGGAGAGTAAGTTTACGGCCAGCCTGGGCAATGTTGTAAGAGGCTGTCTCAACATTCAATTTCAAAGGGGCTGGGGACCTATAGCTCAGTGATCCCTGCGTTCAGTCCCCACCACCAAAAAAAGATCTTTCAAAAGGTTTTCAAAAGAAGAGTCTACCAAGGAAAGGGAGTTCAGTACTTTTACCCATTTCTAAAGGGTACATATTTTATCATTTCATCTACAAATCCATCCCAGATTTGCACTACGTACCAGTGAAGTGTTATTTTGCTTTGGTTGTGTTGCAGTCATTTCTGTGCAACAAACTAGGGGGAAATTCTGTAAAAATACTGAAAGTTCAAGGTAGTCTTTTTCTAAATGAATGTTATGTTAGATACCTAAGTTTTGTTTTTTTTTTAATTTAAACACACTTTTCCCAGCAAGGTTATAGATCATTAACCTTTGTTCATAGGCTTATGTATAAAACTAGAGGTTTTTGTTTACTTTTTTAATTTTTCAAGTGCAATTGTTTCTTACACAAACATTACTATTATCATTCTAGTTATCTGCAAATGTAATAGTATGTATTCATTGTCTCTTCTTGTGACGTTTAATTGCTTATTTTAAAGCAGAAATATTAGCTACAAGTGTCTTGCAATATTTCTACCAACATTAGTAGAGAATGAAAATAACTTAGTGTAATTTTATTTGAGATTTTTGGTTGTATAAAGTTTTAATGTAAAATGTCCATTACTGAAGGGAAAAGATCTTTCAATAAAAAATAACAAGAAGATCTTGGGCGTTAATGAAAATTTCCTTTTTAAATTGAAATTTTTACTACTTTCTATGACAAGTGGTCTTGTATTTACACAGCTTTTCATGAACAAGAAAAACTCATAAGTGTTTTATATGGTACTTTGTTATACTTTTCAGTAAGTATTGGGAGGAAAAAAATGAAGAGAGACCAACATTTATCTCAATCCAGAACTGGAACTGAACGGTCTGAGACAGAATGATCCTACAGCCTCCTGACCGTGCGGAGGGCAGCACCAGCCAAGAGCTGGGTGCCCGCGGCTTAGGCGGAGTGCCTGGCTGGAGCAGACTAAAGCAGCAGGCTGTGCGAGGCCCCTGCCTCAGCTGCCAGGAACCTCAGCAATCAAGGGATTGTTGTTTTAATGCAATATTTTTAAAAATCAAAATTAATGCAAAAAACCCCACGATGGATGAAAGATCAAAAATTTAAAGACAGGCTCGGTGTTACTGATTTTTCCTTTTGCCTCAGGCTCCAGGGTGGCTCGGGGGACACCCCCGCCCAGCCTCCTTCAATCCAAATGCGCGTCTGACAGCAAGAGACCCAGGTGTTACGTATGTACAGTAAGGCTGGAGATGCACCGACCCGAAAGGTAGAAGACAGGCCGTTTTTTCCGGGCAGCCAGCACAGATCGCCTGTGGCTGGAGGGCCGTCCGGCCCGAGGGTCCCACCACAGATAAGACGCCTACGCGCTTTCCTGTACGGCTTTATAGGTGTAGAGCTGATTTCACTTTCAGTGGGAAGAGAATGAGCTGGAAGCAGCTGACCCAAACGTGGGAACTGTGAGGAAGCCTGGCAGTGACGGCCACGGCAGGGAACAGTGCCCAGTGTTCACGGTGGGGGCCGCGAGTTGCACACTTAGAACTCAAAGGACAGCAGCTGTGTCTTCACCCATTTGGGGAAGAGGGCTTGAGCTATAACGCCAGGAACAATGAATGCCTAAAAACCTCCTATCAACTTTTCGTATCAACTTGAAACCGTTGCATGTGTCTGTGTCTGCGTATATGTGTACGATACATGTGTAGCCTAATGTGGGTTCCAAACTCAGGGAAGCATAACCAAGGGGAGACATATACGTAAAAGAGACTGCAGATTACCAGAGCTGACTCACCTGATTATGAAGGTTAAGAGGTCCCGCCACCGGCTGCTTGCAGCCTGGAAACCCAGGAAAACCTGCGCGTAACTCCACCTATTCCAAGTCTACAGGTCTCAGTACCAGGAGTAACCCGGACATAATCTGTAGGCCTGAGAAGCAGGGAGAGGTGGTGGTTGCTGATTCAAATTCAAATGTTAGATTAATCTGTTCTAGAAACGTCCTCACAGGTGTATGCAGAAGCAGTGTTTTACCAAGCTATCCGGGCATCCGCCTCAGTCCATTTTCTGTTGCTATAAGTAAATAGCACAGACTAATTTACAAAGAATACAAGCTTATTGGGCTTATAGTTATAACAGCGGTCATAGGGTCACATATAGTGAGGTCCTTCTTTCTTACGGGGACTCTTCAGAGTCTCAGAGTGGCCTGGGGCATCACGTGGTGAGACAAAACATCTCTAGCCCCTGCTTCTCTCCCGATAAAGCCACAGTCCGTTGGATGAGGCCCCTGTCCTGTGGCCCGAGTAACCCCTCTCAGCACCCCACCTCCAGACCCACAGAGGGATGAAGTCTCCACCCTAGAACACCTCACAGTGGGAATTACATTCCAACGTGAATTCTGGTGGGGCATTCCAACTGCAGCAGCATCTCTAAGAGCACTTCAATATTTTTTTTCACTTAAATTTTTTAAAACATAAAATTAACCATCACACCTAAAAGAAAGCACTACTGAATACATTAATCTGTTTTCTTCTACCTAAAAGTTTTGCTGCTCCTAAGGAAGAGAATGCAGTGGTTCTCTGTAAAAATATAACAGTCAAATTTATTAACCAAAATATAACCTTTAATAGAAAATAAGACTAGCTGCACGCTCTACAGTGGTAAAGTATTTTGAACATCTTACAGATAGTATACACACGAACAGGGACTGTACTTCACTATTTTTGATTGCCACTCAATAAATCCAAACAATAAATATAATTATTTCTACACCCAATAACGAGCATTGATTCCCAGACGACAGGAGAAGAGAAGACTTCCCCAGGAAGTTCGTACGCACGTCGTAATTGCCCGCTCTCAGACCCCAGGACCCACAGTTTCCCGTCAGTAGATGCTGCTGCCAGCAACACTTCACCGTCACGACCGTGGCTCTGGAAAGCAAATGGTGTCGCGTACACCCTTGAAGTGGTTTCAAATTTCCACCGCAGGTGACCTTTCATGTCACAGCAGTAGATAAAACGGTCATGGGAACCAAAAAATATTTCTTGCTCTGACGCTGAGGTGCATGGGGAAGAAAAGATTGGTCCACCGGTAGAGAACTGCCAAACCTATAAGGGAAATTAAAGAAAAAACAATTCACTCAGCTCATTGCAACAATTCTCTTTTATATTTTAGTTCTATAAGGCTTCTTAATACAAATCTAAGAGATGTGGGCTAGCTGAGTGGTAACTACACCGACAGCGAACAATGGCTTCTGGACAACTGGTGTAGGTCAGAGGTGGGGTGCTTGCCCAGCACGTGCAAGGCCTTGAGTTCAAGTCTCTAATATCACAAAACATTAAAAAGAAAAAAAAAAAAGGAAAAAATGACTGATTGTGAAAAGTAGTTCCTTTACACTAGACTTCTATCCCCGTGGTACAGTCCAGGGAAACACGCTGGAGCATTACAACTACATGATTGCTTGTTATGTACAATATTATGAACTAGAATTAATTGTGAGCCCTTTCAGGACTTGTTGGTATGTTCAGAGACACAATGATTAAAGAGAAAACCGCACTGACTTTTCAAAGTACCTCACTGAAATCGGTGTCTTACCCTCTTCTCCACACGATGTGAGAAGGAAGCAGTGGGCTAAATGAACAACTTATGTGCAGTAACTTAAATGAGTAGTGTGAAGAAAGAAGCTGTGAGTTGTGAGTCTGCCCTGTGGGTATATACTGTTTACTTATTCCAGAGCTCCTATACAGACGAACCTGCTGGCCACTCTGGAAGCAGAGGCGCACGCGGGGGCGGGGGAAGACCTGCCTCTGCGGTAGTGCTTACAGACGCAGTCACAGCAGCCGGGCAAGGGGACGGGGCACACGCACAGAATGTGACTCAGAATCTCAGCTCTACCCCTGACTTGCACAAAGTCCCTTCCACTTTCCCACGGCTTATCCAATTTAAAAAGAAAAGGAGTCACAGCATGTGCCCTGCGCCTCTTCTTGCTCTTCAGGAATCTTAAGATAAAAACATACTCAAACCATCTTGTAAATAAAAAATATTAAGATAAGATTTCAACACAAAATAGTTACTGCACAGAGCAAAAGCACTGCCGGGCTATGAATGGTGAACGTACAATAAAAAGGCTCCAGAATCAAGCCTGACCATTCGTGGGCTGGTTCTGCGGGAGCCAGGGCTCCCAGCCCGCACGATGATCCCCCAAAGAGCCTGCAGCAGCAGCTGTCCTGACATGACAGCCACGGAGGGCGGCTTACAGAAGTGGGGACTGTGTCGCTAAGGAAAGCGCTAATTCAAGCCAGCAGAAGCCCACCCTGTTCGTTATAAAGTTGAGGAACGGGGCCTCGGCACGAGGGAACGTTGGTGGCACAACGGATTTTGGTTTCCGTATTAAAATGTAGGGGCTTCCTCCCGCTTAAAACAACTTCATTAGTACTTGTGTGCAGCACCTGGGACGACGTTCGCTGTGGGAGACATGAACGTGCACAGCACTCTCGTTCTTCACCCCCTTCCCCACTTCCTGAAACTTTCTTTTGCCAGCATCAGATTTATTTTATAAGTCTTTACCAAGTTAACTATCGACAGATTAACAGCCAGACTAACAGGCCAAAAGATATATAAAACACAGAAAGCAATTATACTAAATAGAGGTACACTTTTAGAAACACTGGCCATGCCTTCCAACCTCTATAACTCCCACAGAAGGTATCACAGGACTAGGGAAACACTGCCAAGATTTTAAAAAGCAGGATAAGGCGAAGGCAAAAGTGTAACAATGCCTGGACAAAAATCTCAAACCCACCACATTATTCGAACAGTAAGAGATCCATGATTTGAAAAACAATGATTAGTCCCAGTACAGAAAGCTGAATAATGAGGTCTGAAATTTTATCTCACCATCCATCACCTACTCTGCCTTTAAGAAAGGTATGTAAAGCTGGGTATGGCAGCGCGGGCCAGTAAACCCTGTAATCCCAGCACTCAAGAGGATCGCCGTAGGAGAAGAAAGATGTGTAGAACAGAACCAAACCTTTACCTGCTCTCCCGAGTGAGTAAAGCAGAGTACATTCCCATCGACACAGCCAATACAAACATACTGTCGGCAGCACCGTGGGGAAGAGAAGAGAGGTTTTCCACAGCAGTGTTTCCAAACTGTGCTCCCAGTAGCCTGCCATGGGCGAAAAACAATACACAGCATTTAAAAATATGCCACTAGTCAACTGTCATTTTAAAAACAATCTCACAAATCTCCCAGAGCGGAGGTAGAACATCAGAAACTGCCAGTGGCAGGTTGACATTAAACAGAGCTAGCATATGTAGAACCAGGCATTTAATTCATCAGTGCTGTTTATGAGAGCTAGGATGAAAACCTCCAAAATGAAAAAGGCAAATAACTAATACATAAGACCTAGAAGAAAGACGATTAGGGCCAGGATACAGCTCTGCAGCACAGCACCTGCCTGGCAAGCACAAGGTACTGAGTTTAATTCCTGGTACCAAAAAAAAAAAAAAAGAAAAAAATTAAAAGAATTAAATGTGAAAAAGTAAGATCTATCCTTACAATGCACATAAGGTCTTAATACGACTATAAAATTCAATCTAAAAATTTTAAAGACAGGTTAAAAAACATACACACAAACTCAGCTTTTCTCATCTTTCCAGACTTAATGGTGATCACTTGTAATGAATTCTACCTAATCGAAAACTGCTCAGCCGGGTGTGGTGGCGCATGCCTGTAATCCCAGCACTCGGGAGGCTGATGCAGGAGGACTGTTGTGAGTTCGAGACCAGCCTGGGCTACAAAGTGACTTCAAAGCTAGCTTGAACTGCACAGGGAGACCCTGTCTCAAAAAATACCAAAAACAAAAAAAACAAAACAGTAACAAAAAGAAAACTGTTCAAACATTCCAAATCCAAAGCAAAAATAAAGCTAAGAAGAGAAGTAGTAAAATCAATACAATAATTCTATGCCTACAGGGTTTACAGCCAGTAAGAGACCTCCCAGGGTGGCACAATACAAACGATGTGGATTCAGGCTCAAAAAAGGAGAAGAAAAGACAGTTCCTTCACACTGTAACTTCCAAATACACTTCTTTTCCTGCAAATACAAATAAAAGTTAATTGGGTTTTTGCTGTGGATAACAAATCCATGCTTCCTCCATAGAGAATTTTAACTTTACTATTCAATACATACCCACTGGAAAGAACCAAGTTAGTAGTAAGACAAAGGACAAAAAAAAAAAAAAAAGAGGACAAAACTCAGAGATCTTCACTGTTAAAGTTTTAGCATTTTATCTTTTACTTTTTTGGGGGGTATGTGTGTCAGTTTAATACTGTTGAAATAGAAAAAAAATACTGTTGAAACCACTATCAGTGTCCAGTTTGGGATCATGTTTTTCTCAGTTATTTCATAAAATAACTTTAACATAATGTCAATATACAATATCCCTTAGAAATATAAAATAACTGATTTTTCTACCAGATCACTGAAAATCATCTGGAACCAACGATTACCCAAACTATTTTCAGTGACCAGGTAGAGATCGGTGGGTATTATAAATGGCTTGGAAATAGACATCTTGCTGAATGTGTTTGTCTGTGTTTCTGATTATTCTGCCAGGATAGAATCCTAGAAGAGATTTTACAGCATGAAAGAGAATGAAATAGTTACCGATGGCCGAACTGTTTTCCTTAGAGGCCTCAGCAGTTACACCCTCCTCCTGCTCTCACCAGGGTTCGGCGTTACCATCCCCACAATTTCCTCATCTATTTGTTTCTCTATCTCATAGTTTTAAATTTTCATTCCTTTGATTGTTAGGGGTATGAAACATTTACATACATTTCTTAACCATGTCTTCTTAGGGTCTTGTGTTTATGTCCCTTGTTTATTTTTATACCTGAGTCTTTGTATTTACCTTATTTGTATTTGTTCTTTATTTTCATTTATATTCTGAAATACTAATAGTATTCTTAAGTGTAAATGAACTTGGACTTTTTTAGTTACTGCCAAATTTTTCCCAGCTTGTTTCTTTTAATTTTAGAGTCCTTACATACATTTTTATATTTTCATGTACCCAGATCTTAAAGTATCTTACTAGTATTTTTTGTGACTTTTGTTGTTGTTAGAATAATAATTCTGAGTTCCTTAGTGTTGAAAAGTTATTTGTGGTAAATTTAGTAACTTCATTCACCACTTCTTCCCGAGTGCCGGCGCTGGCAGCAGTCACGGGTTCCCAGTGCCCGGCAGTTTCTCACCCTTCTATGCTTACGATCTGAGAGTGACAAGTGAATTCTTACGTAAATATCTAACGCATACACGTGCTGGTCATGAGATCCAACGTAAACGAGTCCTGTGGCCGGATCTGCGGTTGCTGAGCTTTTGACGGTGTCCTCGGTAGGAAACACCCAGTGTGTTTCTCCACTATTACTTTTCAGAACATAAACTAATCCATCATAACAGCCTAGAGAGAAACAAAATATAACAGATGGGATTGAGATTAAGTCCCTAGAACATAACCGCGCAGCCTCAATCATGACAGTTTACATTCAACGCACTGCATGCCTCACACTCACTCATCTGACTTAATTTTCAGCAATGTAAATCAGAAACTGAACAGTCGTCACCTGGCTTAAATTCCTTTCAGTGAGTCACTTTCATTTTTACAAGTACTGTACTCGGAAGTGCCTCCAGGAAAAACAAAGCAGACTGTGGAGACAGTACTTGATGGAGCTCACGGTAGCTGTTCCTGGGCAGGCTGCGAAGCGTCGCTGAGCCTCAGATTGTCCTGCAGAACGTGGATTCACCTACTTCAAGGGTCACCATACCAATGACTACAGCAACTACTGCAATACAATGTGGACAGATGCCCACAGCACAGCAGGCGTTGAAGAAACGCTGACGATGACAGTGCTCCTTGATCATTTACTCTAGGTCAGGCGCTTTTCTAAGGGATTTTTTTTTTTTGAGACAAGGTCTGTGTAGTCCAGGGTGATCTTGAATCTGTAACCCAGTATGGCCTCAAATTCATGACTCTCCTGCCTCAGCCTCCTGAATGCTAGGATTACGGGGATGCACCACCATGCAGTGTTCCCTTAAGTGTTCTGCATCTATTAGTTCATTTAATCCTCACAGTGAAACAAATGCTAATATACGCATATGTTACTGATGAGACAGAAACACAGAGGTTAAGCTCCTACAGCAGAATTACAAAATTAATATACGGCAGAGCCAGGCTTGGTAGCACATGCCCATAATCCCTGCACTCTGGGAAGTTGAGGCAGGAGGACTGCAAGTTTGAGCCCACCCGGAGAAACTTAGCTGTTTAGGGAGACCCTGTCTCAAAATGAAAAAAACAAAAAGGGCTGGGAATGTAGCTCAGTGCAAAGGCCCTGGGTTCAATCCCCAGTACTGGGGGAAAAAAAGGACAGAGCCAGGACTTAAATCTGAGACGTCAAGCTCTGGAGGTATGTTCTTCACTGCACTCAGCTGCTTTTCCCAAAGTGCTGCCCTGTAAGTCAAAAAGCCTAGTTGGAAGGAATGATCGAAACCTACAAAGTGAAGGTCCTCTTGTCCCCTGGAAAAAAAATCACAGGAAGCAGGGTCTGAGAATGGCTATTTAGGGCAACTGTATTCGCCTCCACTCTCTAAGTGGCTCTGCCCGTGCCCATCACACTGAGATTCTAGTAGATCCCAGCTAGGATTGCACGAGCAGGGAAATACACTGCTGAGCACCTAGTGTGAAAAGTTTTACTGAACAGATTCCAGGGGCACAGAAAGTGAGCTTACGGAAAACTTAGTAGTAAGAGTGCTAATTCGGCAGAGACACTAGCCCGGGACTCAGCACTCCTAAGCATAACCACGTAATGAGCACGAGCTGCGGCTTGCAGCGCACGCTTCCTCGCGCCCTGCACGCGTGAGGTCCCAGCACTGAGGGAGGCGAAGGCAGGAGGGCAAGGAAGGTTCACTCCAGGAGCTTAGCGAAGGCTTTTTGCAAAATAAAAAATGAAAAGGGCTTGGAATCCTAGCTCAGTGGTAGAATGCCCCCAGCTTCAATCCCCACTGCCAAAGGAGGAAAAAAAATAGAAGGGAGTGCCTGAAAATGTTTTAATGGACTCATCAGCAGTTATCTCACCTAGCCCTCCTAAAATCTCTGACGATGTTGGTAGTTTTACAGCAGGTCCGCAAATTCTTTGCTGCTGCTGTCCTTATCCCCTCCTCTCCAATGCCTACTAGACCGAGTAAAAGAACGAAGCAGAAATGAAGGTGCGCAAGTCAAGAGCCCAGGGCATCACCGTGCTCCTCCTCCCGCCCTCCTGGGTCACCCACCTCCTGTGAGGGCACGGTGGCGGCCCGCGCAGAGGCTCCGGTGGCAAAGCCCGAAGACTCTTGCCAAGAACCAGCCGTGAACTGAGACCTTCTGTTAACAGTGCTGTGACTGAGCCATCCTGGAAACCAAATTTTCCAGGCCAAGGAAAGCCTTCACCTGCTACAGAAGCATGTGGCCCCGAGCAGAACGGCCAGCCAAGCGGCTCCTGCTCAGAAACTGAGACGGCAAGGGCGCTGTCCTGGGTCATGAGGTTCTGGGATACCGTGATACAGCCAAATGTGTTTGTTTCCACTCTTTTGAGGAAACTGGAAAAAATCTAGCAGCTTCACAAAGGTCACAAGGTTTCACAAACATCGCAAAGCTTGTGAGAACTACGAAGCTAGTGCTCTGACCTCAAGGCCCACAGTTAATCAAAACCGAGTGAACTATTACTCTTCGACAGCAACCAAAACCACCACACAGAGGCGTCTCTTCAAATTTCACTTGGTCCTACCAGCATTTCTGTGGTAATTCAGTTAAACTCTGCAGGCCTCAAATACAGACACTTACCCACTACAATAAAGTTTCCGCACACAGAAACACATGCTGACGACTCAATTCGATCCCCCAAAGTCTGTTCCCATTTCACCTTCCCGGAGCGTAACTCGACCGCCTTCATCCTGCGGGAGTGGGAGCCGACGTACACAGTTGCAGACGAATTGTCACCGGCCGGTATCACAACCAGAGGGGAGGCGTCGACACACTTGCCTGTGTCCGACCTCCACCTCACACGTAACTCCATTTTCGCAGCCTCTGTAACAGGGCTTCCCTCCGCAGGAACTTCTGCGGCACAGGGAGGACCTTTTGACTGCCCAGTGAGCGCTGAAGGATTTAAGCTTCTCACGTGTTTAATGTTGGTCTGTGAAATTAAGTCAGCACAGGCTAAAGGACAATGTCCTAACTCAGTAGCATTCACAGACAGAATCTGACTCCCTCTGCTGAGTGCGATGAAAGCTTTTCTCTCTTTGTAACCGGAAGGCAAGGCGGACTGCTGACGTAAGGACTCTCCGCTGGCTGCCTCTGCCTCTTGGTCAGTGTCGCTGAGCTTCCTTTTGGCAGCGCTCGTCCTGGTGAACGTACCGTCTTCAACTGCAAACACTGTGTGAAGGGTGTAACTGAAAATCTCTGACATGGAACTGCTGAGAATGACCTCCAGCAGCCCAGGTACCGGTGTACCAACAAGCCGCTCGATCTCACCGAGAAGCCGCACGGCCCTCAGGGAATCTCCGCCACTGCTTAAGAAAAGTGACTCCTCAGGAACCTTCAGATCTTCTGGGAGGCTCAGGATAGACTACAGACAGAGAAGGGAGAGATTCTGTCAAGGCCCCAAACCAAATTAATATACAGAGCTGAGGGTATGTAATTAAAGATACAGGCATTAAGAAAACACGACAGGCCTGGGCATACAGCTGAGAGGTAAAGCATGGCCTAGATGTGCAAACCCTGAGTTTGCACTATAAAAATAATAACAATCAAAACCATTTTCTTTACACTCGTACTATAATGGATCATCACTATGCTACCAATTTTATCATCAACTTCTTTTGAAAGTGCAAAACATATGTCCCTTTAGAGCTGCTTTTCTACCTAGAAAACAAGGAATGGGGTTACAGAAACATCTGATTTACTAATTATACAGCCCACAAGATACTAACAGCTGATACTGCTGTAATATAGAAATATTTATCATTATCTACTTCATGTAAATAAAAATTACAGGAATCTAAAATTTTGTCTTGATATTCTCTACTTTTATAGACAAAACTAAACAAATACATCCTCATTTCAAAAACTCTTTAGAAAAGAAAAACCCACATTTTAAGGAAAATTGTTGAACTATTGAGACACATATACAAAAAAAATTTGCCCTAAGCAGAAACAAGTATGTTGCCACCGGAAGCTCTCCTGTAACGGGTACCGGATTACAGCAGCAAAGCGGGTCGGTCGGTCGGTCGGTCGCGCGGCCCCGACAGCAGTACCGCCACCCTCACCGCCCCTCTCCGGGAAGGCCGTCAGGACAGCCTTTGCCCACTGTGCCTTCTTTGTTTTTTGTTTTTTGTTTTTTTTTTTTCCTCCGGTACCAGGAACTGAACTCACGACCTTGCGCTTGCCAGGCAGGCGCTTTGCCGCTGAGCTAAATCCCCAGCCCCCCACTGTGCCTTCTTATGAGTGCACGTTTGCGGTACGCAGCGAGCTCGCTCACGGTGGGCAGCGGCACACTAGATCTCACCGCACTCCTTCACTTCCGTTACTCTTCCCGCCTTCCCCTCTCCTCCCACCTCTGCCTTTTCCCCTCTCCCCTAAACTATGCTTATGACTCCCTCAAAGAAATAAATTCCTCTGCTAGGGGCTTAATCTAATATTAGCTTAATCTAGTTTAAAGAGAATCTAACCTTTATTTCAATACAAACTAAATGAAAGAAGCAATACCACCTGATACCTGGGCAGCAGTAATGTTCTTAGCAGATTTATTAAGGCTCCAGCATTCCTTCAAATGAACTCTTTATAAAAATACATTTTTATTTGAAAAGTTGTACCTTCCACAAACACTGTAATTTTTCCCAAAGATCCTCTTTTCCATCGAGCTTATTCTGTGTCAAGTTTACATAATCTAAATAGATCTTGTTTAACTCAGAGACATCAACTTTGCCTTGAAGGAGAAAGAACAAGTGTTTTAAAATAACATCTAAAGTTTCAGCACAAAGCCTTTATATTTTCATCAGTCACACACTCTTCATCACTCACACACACTCTTCACTGTAAAGCTTAGAGATCATATAGAACATTTCGTCACAGATAATTCTGAAGAAAAAAATCCATTGCTACCAAGAATGCAGTAAAAAAATCCAAAGCTATCAAGAGCGCAGTACTAGAGAAGAGGAACGAAGGAGCTAGTGTTTAACTAATATAAAGAGCTAAAGAAATGATCATTTGGCCGGGCGTGGTGGTGCACGCCTGTAATCCCAGCACTTAGGAAGCTAAGGCAGAGGGATCACTGCGAGGTCGAGGCCAGCCTGGGCTACACAGTGAGTTCAAAGCTACCCTGGACTACACAGCGAGACCCCGTCTCAAAAACAAAAAAAACAAAAACAAAAACAAAACCCAAAATTCATGTTAAACTGTGCAATTATGGTTAACAGCACAATTATTATGTTCTGAGGTATATTTTAAATAAAAATGAAATTGGGAAGGCAATATAATATGGTGGCTAAGTATATTTTTTGAAGCTAAACAGTATCAGGCAGAATTTCAGCTCTACCATGGTGACAGCTAATTTTATGTGTCAACTTAAGTGGTCCATGATAACCAGATTAGACGCTGTTTCTGGGTTCGTCTTGGAAGGGACTTCAGGTGAGAGGGGCATACGGCTCCGTGGGCTCAGGACAGACTGTCCTCCCGGAGCGGCTGGGAATCATCCAATGCCAAGGGCGCCAACAGACAAATGCCAGAGGGAGGGGAATTCACCCTTTCCCTGCCTCACAGTCTCTGAGCTGGCACAGCTCCCGTCGCTGCTGGGATTCCCGTCACTGCTGCCCAGGACACTCCGCTGAATGACACCAGCATTGTGTCTTTCCTGGCCTCTCGCTTGCGGATGGCATGGGACGTCTCAGCCTCAGCAACTGCGTGAGCACAACGTTCCTCGCCTTTGTATATGTCTATCTAAGTATCAGTTCTGTTTCTCTGGAGAGCCCTAACTAATAAAACCTCTAATTAGCAAAGTGATTTTGAGAAAATTACCTATCTGTTTAAGTCTTACTTTCCTCATCTGTATGTGAGAATAATATACCTATCCAGAGTATTTGCTGACGATTAAAGGAGTTAATTATACAAAGCATTTAAAAGAGGGTCTACTGCAATCAACGCTTACACCCTTTATAATAATAAAGACCCATGTGGCCACTAAACTAGTTATAAACACAATCAGCAACATCTGGCACTAAATATATATGCTTGAAATTATTTTACCATGAGACGTAAATGGCAGAGTATCAATCAACACAAGCTCATCCGGGATGGCGTGATTTGGAAGACGTTCCTGCAGCTCTTTAAAGATGCGATCTTTTACTATGTCATCTCTGGACACTATGAAGAGAATTAATTTTTCCTGATTATACCACGTAACTGCACAAGACTCCACTTGCTGAAGTTCTTCAGCAACCTATAAGAGATTACCCCAATTTGCAAATGAGGATATTTAAAAATGAACTTTCCAAATGCTCCAGTTTGCTATGCATAAAATCAGTATAGCTAATTTAAATTTTGGTATACACTAGATAAATTTTGGTATACACTAGCAAAAATTATTTGCTACCATTACTAGCACACAGGATTCTTAATATTTTTGGAAAAAAAAATCCTAAAGCAAATAAAACAAATTATTTGCATAGATCTCAATATTCATTTTGTTACTTATTTAAAAAGCAAACAAATCTTCATGCTAGGAGTAAAGCACACGGAGTTATACATACCTCTGACTGTAATTCATCACTAATACAAAAGCTTTAGTTGTAATTAATACAGATGAGGATCTGGCACAGAAGTTTCATGGTAGCTGCCTCTAGTTCTATATACACTAACAGGTACTTAATATCTAAACAGCTCTACCTGTTGAACAAGTTCGACGTTCAGACGTTTGCCGTGACGTTTGATCTGACCGTCTTTCCGCCCCAGGAAAAGCATCTCTCCACCTTTTACCATCACGAAGTCTCCCGTGGCTCGCATTGTGCCCAGGGGCACTGTCACTTCGTCATCAAGAAAACACACTCTGTCTCTGCCACCTTCCCAAGGTACAAACACTGATGTTAACTTTAAAACAGGAGCATACATTAAAAACCATCAAATCAAGAACATCTCCAAAATTTCAGTTACCAAGTTTCAAAATCTGAAGATAGGGGATTTCGCTTTTAAATGATACTGGATAAAATCAGACAGTAACTCCAATAAATAAGAAATAAAATAAAATTTATTATTTAAAATGTGTGATTTCTTCAAATTCTTAGAATACTGATTAAATATAATTTTGTCTATACATATAAAGCTGCACACTAGTTTCTAAATTACTTTTACTAGAGTACTGACATTATATATGAAATAATTACAGTAACAATATTTCACGGCTATGAGACCGATTAAAAATTATCACTGAAAAGCATACTAGACAAAAAAATGAGGAAAATGATAAACACATCCATTTTTTCCCTTAAAAGTAGATATCCCAAATCAACAGATGTGAGACCACCTAAAAATACTTGGCCACTGCCTTCTTGAATTGTGACACCATCTGCATCTCTGACTTCAACCACAGTTCCAAGCAGCGGAAGCCCCAGCTGCACGGGCGATTCACATCTATGAAAAACACAACCAAAGCTGACTTAAAATTTTATGCTGGCATGAAGTATTTCTTGCTGTATTTAAACCATACTGTACCAAAGGAAGGAGGTGGTTGTTATGGTATAACTCAAAGACTGCCAACTAGAAAAGGTTTGGTAAAAAGACTATCATATGTTTTTCTTTATGATTTAGTATCAAAAGCTTCTAGCAAGATCTTAGCACCAGTTATAATAAGAAAGGTTCAGACTTCCATCTTCAAAGACTAGATAAAACAGTGTTTCCTAAATTATGACATCAGTGCCTGCACAACTCTGTGAGGTGGATGCAGAGCTCAGTAGCAGAGTGCGTGCCAGCCCGCAGGGCCCTGGTTCAATCCCCAGCAGCCCCACATCCCACCAAACAAACCAAAGCAAAAACAGCCCACTGTTAATATTAAGATCCTAGAGACACATAATCTTTCCCTCTGTACTTACTTCAAAGTAGAGTCAAGAATCTCCTCGGGAATCTTGTAAAAGGTTGCCCAGCTTGAAACCTCTGTGATACCGTAAATATTAAATATCTGTGTTTTATTTCCTTTTTCTATCCAGCTTCTGAGGACGGTCAGCGATGGGAAGGGCTCCCCACCAAGGGCTAGCACTCGAAGAGAAGTACTGGCTGATAAAACTGCCGACTTGACAAGCTGAGGCCCAAATCTCCTCAGCAATGTTGGTGTTGCCTACGGGGACATTAAAAAATTCACTTCTTTCCCCTCGTTTCTTAAAAAAGTAAACACTGTAACAATATGCTCAAAGCTTTATACTGGAGGCCAGATGGGAAGCAAGGCTGTGTGTATCAAATGGCAAAACATATTTGGAAAACCACTAAGGTAAACGTGATCGTTTTAATGTAGATAGAGGTAGGTTAGGGAAAAAAACAAGCAAAAATATTAGTTGTTTCATGAGATAATTTATAAGTTTAAAAGGACAAAATCTGTAAAACCAATTTATATTCTGTTTCCCGTTAGCTTTATGTACAGAAGATATATTAAAGGGTTAAAAGTATGCCTAAGCAAATGATGAAAGCTTTTAAAGGCAATTTTACTGAGGTACAACTGACACATGGTAAACTACTTTAAGTGTACATTTCAGTAAGTTTTGATATATCCATACACCAATGAAACTATCACCAGAATCCAAATACTGTGATAACAAAAATACCACAGACTGGTTAATTTATAGACAGAAACTTACTGGTCACAGTTCTGGAGCCTAGGATGTCCACGGTACGGGCAGATTCAGTGTCTAGTGAAGGCTCTGTCGGCTTCAGAGATGGTACCTTTTTTTTTTTTTTTGAGACAGGATCTCACTGTATATAGTTCAGGCTGGCCTTGATACCATATGCAGCCCGGGCTGGCCGTGAATACACGGCCAAGCTCCTGGCTCGGCTTTTCAAATGCTGGGATTACAAGTGTGCGCCCCATCCTGGCTCATAAATGGCACCTTTTTGCAACGTTTTCATGCGGAAGAAGGAACAAACAAGCTCCTTCAGGCCCAACACACTGGGAATTAGATTTTAGTATGCGAGTTCTGGATGAACACAAATGTTTAGACCACATCAATATTCACTACCCTTAAAATTACCTGTGTGCTATTGTAAACTTTCCCTCCACCAGACCCCTTGTCCAGAAAACTGATTTATGTCACTGTCAATCAGTTGGCAATTTCTAGAATTTTATATAAATGGAATAACACCACATGTGGTCTCTTCTGTTTGTTTGGTTTTTTGTTTTGTGTTTTTGAGACAAAGTCTCACTTTATAATTCAGACTGGTCTTAAACTCACTATGTAGCCCAGGCTGGCCTCAAACTCACAGATTCTCCTGCCTCAGCCTCCTGAGCGCTGGGATTACACACATGTGCCACCATCCCATGGACATGTAGTCTCTTTTGGCTTCTCTCACATACTTCGTATTCAACATATTTTACAATTTTACAGTTCACCTATGAATTGTTACTGTTATGTGTATAACAGTTTATTCCTTTTTATTACTGAATGGTATCCATTATAGATCAGGTCTGGGGCCAGGGATATAGCTCAGCAGCACAGCGCCTGCCTAGCAGCACAAAGTCATGACTTTGATTCCGGGTACCAAAAACAAAACAAAACAAAACAAAAAGCAGAAATAGATGAGGACTGGCTAGTGGATTTCCATATAAAATTTAGGACCAACCTGTCAATTTCTACAAAAGGTCTACTAGTATTTTGATAGAGATTGCATTTAATTCAATTTATAAGTCAATTTGAGGAGAACCTCAATCTTGACAATGTGAAACTTCCTATCCAGAAACAATGAAATGTCTATCTAGTTCTTTAACTTCTACCAACAATGATTTATAATTTTCAGTGGTTAAATCTTGCTTTTCTTTGAACTTATTCCTATTTTATTACTTCTACACTATTGTAAATAAATTACTTTCACTTTTAGGCGTTTAATAAATAAATATATATGAATATATATATATTCACACATAAACACAACTGAGTTTTGCATACTGAACTCACATCTTCCAAATGTGCTAGAAATGTGTTTATTAGTTCTAGTAGTCTTCCTGTTAGGCAGAAAGTTAGACATTATCAGGCCCGGAGACAGGGGCCCGGGGGAGACTTGAAAAACAAAGACGAGGTCATACTTTTTTCCTTCATCTTCGTAATTTTTAGTTACATCAAAATCCACACAAGCTCGTTTCACACCTTAGCTCAAGAGAGGGTAACCTCCTCCGAGCGTGCTGATAAGGTCCAGGTGGTACAAAGCACAGACCACAGATGGGAGGATGGAAAGCCTCAGGGACGCGGAACAAACTACACGGAAAACAAACTACACCTCTGCGGGCACAGAGGGCCTAGCAGCCAACACAGCCGTCTTCCTCGTGGACGAGCCGTGACCGAGGTAAGGGCGTCAGAGCGGCGTGCACTGGAGACTGTCCGCTGTCCCTGGCCTTCAAAGACCCGCTTCATCGTGTGAAGGAAGCCGAGCCCTCACCCGGCCCCTATGCCTGCCCCTCTGCAAGCCTGCCCCTCTGCAGTAAGCTCCACCTGTACTCTACGCGATGGCTTACACAGGAGCGGGATGACTCCCAGCGGCAGCCCTTCCTCCCGCTGCTCCCCCAGTGGGGTTCTCTGTGCACCGGGTCATGCCTTCCGCACACACGAGTTCACTTCCTCCAAGTCAGTTAATTTTAATTCCCTTCTCACCTTCTTCTTTCCTTGCTATGGTTTTGGTCTCAAGTATCGCACGCAGATGGCCCTGAAGAGCGGCTGTGGGAAGTGCCGGCCACGGGCCCCAACCTTCGAGGGCGGGCACAGCCACCCGCGGACTCCTAACCCGCAGGCACCACCGGGAGGTGGGGGAGGCTCAGAGGGCGGGGCCCACCTAAAGGAGCGGCCAGGGGGCCGACCCGGGGACGCACCCTGCCCCTGCGCGCTGGCCGCCGCGCGGGGAGCAGCTCTCCTGCACCACTCCCCAGGCCCCCACCGCAGCACAGGCCCAGACGCCTGGCCCCACGACCCACACCTCCGAGCCGCGAGCCGCTGCAGTCCCCCGTACAGCCCTTCTCCGGCGCACAGCGCCTGCCTGGCAGGCGCCAGGTCGTGAGTTTCACTCCTGGTACAAAAATGTTATTCTCAGATACTCCGTCACAGCGACAAGGGCCGGCAAACACACCCTTATCGCGCCGACGAGCATGCCAGAGCAGTGTGGAGAAGTAATAAAACAAAAAATCCTGCCCTGTTGCCGACGTTAGTGTACAAACGGTCAGCGTTTCATCAAGAATGACGTTAACTACAGTTTTTTATGGGTGCCCTTTTTCAATCCGGAGAAGATCTTCCCATTCAAAGTCTGACGACAGTCTTTCTGTAAACCATGAATAATATAAATGTGTGCCCTTTGTACAACGTTCCTTCTGACCTACACATCGTCAGTAGATTTTTGGGTGCTAAAGCAAACATACATTCCTGGGATAAATCCTACCTGGTCACTTTTTATAAGGATGAAAACCATGCTGCCTAAAAAAAGTCAAAAATACCTAATTTTGTTTTAGAAAATTAGAAACTTATTATCCCTCCTGCATCTAAAACCCCAAGCCCCAGGTCAGTGATGGCGAACCTTTTAGAGTTTGCAATGATCCGAACAGCCCACTGCGGCACGGTGCCATAGGTTCGCCACCACTGCTCCAGGTAACTAACGTAAGAAGCGAGGCCTCTGGCAGGTGACTGGTCACCAGGGAGAGCCTCATGAGGGATGCCCTATGGAAGCCGCCCAAGAGAAAGCCCTTGCTCCCCGACCCCGGAGTGCCCAGGGGAGACTGTGGCCCATAGTCAGTGAGGGTGCCCTCACCTGATACTTACCTGCTGAGCCTTGATCTCAGACGTCTTAGACTCCAGAACTGTGAGTAGACAAGCTGCTCAGTGTATGGGACTGTGCTGCCGCAGTCTGCACGGACTGAGATACACACAAACTAGGAGCTATCCTTTACTATCTCATTTAATTCTTACTCTTACATCAAATAAATGTTATCTCCAGCCACAGCTAAAACCTGAGGCTCACAGCGGTTCAACTCTTAGCTAAAACATCTACATATCACAATAGATATATAATTTTGTTTTCTCTTTAGCCATTTAAAATATATTAAGACTTGTGTATCATATACTTGCAAATACACATCTCAAATACGTTTTAAATGTTTCTATAGCTTAATGTAAGTCTGCTAATGTAAAAATTTAAAAATCACTCAATTATAATTTACTTATACTAGCACTGAGAAATGCAAAACACTTACATTTAAGATAAAAAGACATTGCAATAGCATATCCCAACAGATCTGAGTGAAAGTCAAGTTCCTCCAGCTGTTACAACATGAACAAAGCACATAATTTTCTTTTTTTTTTCTTTTGTTTTGTTTTTGTTTTTGTTTTTCTCTGGTACCGGGAACCGAACTCACGTCCTTGCGCTTGCCAGGCAGGCGCTTTTGCCGCTGAGCTAAATCCCCAGCCCCAGCACATAATTTTCTAGGAAGAATTATTTTTTCATTTTAAAATAAACATGTAATAATGTGAAAGGTCAGCCTTTGGTAATCTAACTAGATAATCGCTAATACATTGCAAAGAACTGTAAGAATATAAAGTATTCTCTAAAACATTTGAAATATTCAGCAGTTGCACAAAACATTTCATTTGCTCCTAAAACATACCTGCAGCACTGTCACTCTGTGATGGGTAAAGAGAACAGGAGCTAGTTTCGATGGGAGCACCTTGACAGACGTCGGTACAATAAGCAGAGAGGCACCACTCGATAAAGCAACGAATATTTCCACAACAGAAGGGTCAAAGGTCAGGGGTGAAGCCAGAAATAAAACATCTTCTGGTGTAATGTCAAAAAGTTCCCTAAGGCAAAGCAGAATGTAGTTACAAGAAATGTCTGTCCAAGGACACCTGTAATCCCATTTACAAGGCTGAGGCAAGAGGATCTAAGGTGGAAGCAGGCCTGGGCAAACTCAGTGAGACCCTGCCTCAAAATGAAGTAACAAAAAGAGACAAAGCTCAATATTCCCAAGGTTCAATGTCCAGTACTGAAAAAAAGGTTCAACATTGGGTAGACACAGACCCTAAGACTGTAGTCCAATTTTCCAATGTTTCTACATTTTATTCTCCTTTTAAATTAACCATGCTGGGCATGGTCGAGCATGCCTGTAGTTCCAGCACACAGGAAGCTGAGGCAGGAGGATTGCCATAAGTTTGAGGATAGCTCAAAAAAGCAAAACAACAGTAACAATATAATAATAATAAAAACAACAACACAGTGCTATTAATTCTGAAAGTCCTCTTTATAAAAGAACCTAAAGCAACACTTGTTGTGTAGGTGTGATACTAGAGATTCAATCTAGAACCTTCACATTGAGCTATCTTCCCAGCCCTTTTGTATTCTTTATTTCGAGACACAGGCTCACTAAACTGCTAAATTGCCCAAGCTAGGCTCAAACTCGTGACCCCCCTAACGCTGCCTCCCAGAACGCCGGGATTACAGGCGTTGCCACCACACCTGGCCACTGTAGGTCACCTTCAGTCCCTTTTAATAGCCATTTACTATCAACCCGTGTACAGAGTGACCAAAATATCAATCAATGTTTAAACCCTTAAAATTTAATACAGGAAATGATGCACTGCCATCAATCACCTTGAAAATCCTCCCCTCACTTTATTGGTTTTTTTTTTTGGTACTGGGAATCAAACTCAGGACCTCGCGCTTGCTAGGCAGGCACTTGTGCCGCTGAGCTACATCCGGGCCCCTCCCCTCACTTTAAACACACCTGTCCTGCTCGCTCCCTCAGTGCTTTTGCTGTCTTCTGCTACCATGAACTGTTGCCCTCTGCCACGTGCCACCCTGCCTTGGAGCCCACCAATTATGGAGTAAAACCTCCACAAAGTGTGAGCTAGATAAACCTTTCCCCTTTTAAAACAACAACAAGAAAACCCCCACAGCTATCCTATCGTTCTTCCCACCTCCTGTGGTTCTGGAATCCTCTTTTGCATCTGCAAGGAATGATATAAACACGGTGATGCTGCAGCCCAGCCCATCCGACAGAAACGCAGGCTGTGACAACATGATCTACTTTACTCCCTGGGCACGGCACCGTGCACCTCTGGCTCCTCCCCAAAATCAAAACGACTACGAAAGGTAAACATTTTCAATTCAGGCTATGGAAACAGCCATGTTAGTCAACTAAAGAGCCTCGCTAAAAAGGACTCCAGAAAGTAGCAGGAACGACGGGTGTGTGCAAGGCGAAAGGGGTATTCTGAAGGGGATTAATGGCAGTGTGTCTTTTATTGTAACGCAAGTTTTAAAATTTAAACATGCATCATATCTGTCCATCTAACATCCTCATGACGGCTAGATAAAACTCATGGGACGTAGCTAAGCCTGACAGACCTGCAGCCTGCACCAAGCTAAAGCTGAGAATGTGATACGGATGTCTGAATCCTGTAAAACCGATTCCCCTCCTGACAGATACCAGTTGATTCCTACAGAAGAGATTTCCCGCCTTGCAGTCACCCACCTACCTGATGACCCATGTATTTTGTGAACACACTGGTGCCTGACCTCCCCTTGTTCTGTGACAAAAGAAGCTCGTGAACCTCTTCCGCGGCAGCATTCATTCAGAGTAGCCTGGAACCAAACCCTAGACCACAGTCACTCATGTTGCTCAGAATCAGCACTTTCTTACTTCCTCTGAAAAAGGATCGTTACTTTTCAGCAGCAGTGTCTCAGGAAAGGTACTCACTGTAAGCGGGGCATGGTGGTGCATACCACTCCCAGCTGGACTTGAACTTGTGATTGTCCTACCTAAACCCCCGAAGCGCTGAGATTACCAGTACATACCACCTGACCAAATAAGTACCTTTTGTGAATTCTAAAATATAATTTTTTAAAGACTTTAAAATTGTACCTTTGCCAATTTAATAACATGAAAATAGAAAAGATATTCTAAAAATGTGGTTTTAAAAATATCAATTAAGCCAGGTGTGGTGGCACATGCCTGAAATCCCAGCACTTGGGAGGCTGAGGCAGAAGAATCATTGTTAAGTTCGAGACCAGCCTGGGCTACAAAGTGAGCTCAAGCCTAGCTTGAACTGCATAGCAAGACCCTGTCTCAAAAAGACAGAAGAAAAAAAAAAAAAGAAAGGAAGAAATCAGTTTTAAAAAAGTCAATTGAACCCAGTATGGTGGTATATACTAGTAATCTCAGCATTTGGGATGCTGAGGCAGGGGGATTGCTATGAGTTGGAGGCCAGCCTGGGATACATAGTGAGTTCAAGCCTAATTCTAGCACTGGGGAGGTTGAGATTACTGTGAGCTCAAAGGCCAGCATGGACTACATAGCAGTCAAGATACAGCACGTTATTTGCACGTATCAGTTCCCCAGGATGAACACCACTGTTCCGTATTGCAAACCTGCATAGATTAGAAACTGTTAAAGGCAAAGTCAGTTCCAGTTATCCGACAGAGGAAGGTACTACATCTGCCTTTGTGAAACAGACGCCTCTGGTATGAACAAAACAATCCTTGCACATTTTCTCAGGTGTTTTGGGGCTCGGGATGGAACCGATGACCTTCACATTTTGCTACATCCCCAGGCCTTTTTATTTTCTATTCTGGCAAACTGCCTAGAATCTTGCCAAATTACCTATGTAGAACTTACACCCAGAATCTTCCTGCCTCAGCCTCCTACAGTGCTGGGATTACAGATGTGCATGAAACAGGTATTAATACAGTCATATATGAACCCAAGGCCTTACACATAGTAGGCGAGTGCTCTGTCGCTGAGCTGTATCCCCAGTCCAATTCTTTTGTTTGTCGCTTTGGAGACAGGGTCTCACTATGGGGTCCAGGCCGGACTTGGACTCACTATGTACCTGAGGCTGGGCTCGAACTTGTGGCCATCCTCCTGCCTCAGGCAGTCACGTGCTGAGATTACAGGGGTGCACCACCACTCCCAGCTCTTTTTATTCCTTAGAACTTTTTAATTACAATGACATAAAACTATGTGTTTCATAAGGTTCCTATCAGTCTTTGCTTCCTCCTTTGATTCTACAAATACGCTCTTCTCCTCTATGTCACTTCTACAAATTGACAGCCTCAGCCTGAGACTCCTCTTCTGCCCACATCAGGCAGCCAGGCCTCACAAGGCCACCACCTGACTGCATGTGGGGTGTGAATCTGTTAACGGCTCCCCACCCGCTCACAGGTCCAGTTCAAACTCCCAACTGGATGTTCCAGGCTCCCGCCCTCCCCTCTCGTCAGCTCTGCCCTGACACACTGCAACGGAACACACTCCTTTCTCCTACCGTGTGCCACCTCTGCCAGGAAAACCTTCTCATTAATGATCAGAAAGCAAAGATTCCAGCCCTATCATTTGTTCTGTGTTGACCTGGATGAACAGGTGAAGTCCTGCTGTGCAGAGAACTAAAGTTCAGAGAGAACTAAAAACAGACCTAATGACTGAGAGTCAACCATTTAGGAATACAACTTACAAAGAAAAATTATTTTTAAAAATTTTTTCCTCTTTAAAACAAGGTTTAAGGAACACTCAGAAGAGTGTTCGGCACTTACCGAAAATGCTGAACATTCGGTAGCACACATGCATGAGGCACTCTAACAATCTTCGGCGTCCCCGTGGTCCCGGATGTATGCAGAACATATGCCAAGCAATCCTTATGCCTCGCATCCATGTGTTCTGTTTCTCTGCTGCTGCTCTCGGAACACACACGGTCTTCTCTTCCTGTTTCACATTTCTCTTTCCCATCACTCAGCATCAAGTCCTCCTCCACATTTTTCCAGTGCAGTCTGACAAATACTAGGTCATTGTGTTCTACTGTAAGTGTATCATAGTTCAGCAACGTCTCGTGGGAAGATCTGAATTTCTATGACAGGTAGGGGACAAAGTTTGTAAGATTAACATGTTAAAAAAGTTCTTTTATACGGAGATACATGAACTATTCGTTTACTCATTCAACATGGCCTTTTGGGGACCAATGGCGCTACTTGTGATGTGCTCAGGGATAAAAAGACAAATGAGCTGTCCTTACTTTCAAATTCACCTTCAAATAGACAGACATATAAAAACGTCCCACTGCAGCTGGGCAGGCCTGCGATCTCAGCACTCTGGGAGGCTGAAGCAGAAGGGTCACAAGCCGCAGCCCCATCTGGGCAGTTTAGTGGCTCAGGTAGATTCTGTCTCAAAATATCGAGGAAACAAGCAGGGAAGAATCTCAGTGCAAAGGCCCTAGGTTCACCCCCAGCACCAAAGAACTTGATAATTAATTTAAATAAAATAAGAATTTTAAATGTACAATCGCAGTGCAACACAGTAATGTGATAACCAAGTATGCTTGAACAATTATTGGGGACAGAGGCGGGTGAACTTTACTCTGCCTAGAAGGTCAGAGACTGCTTGCTAGATAATGTGTGTATTATAAGTAGTGAATATCCAATACTGAAGTGAGCATTTCAGGCAAGCAGCTAATATGCAGCATATAATCTAGTAAGGCTGACACTGTGGAGGACACACAGATCCAAATCAGAGAAGAGAGGTGAGTTGTAATGTAGACAGAGCTGAGATGCAAATTCTCAGTTATCCTGTGCACTTAGCACAAAGGAGTTTAACGTGTAAGTGACTGGTTCCAAGTGAAGGCAGCAACATGGACCGGACTCCATTCCAACAGGACGGGTGACAAACAAGACTCTGCTGACTGAGAGCTACTTCCTCAGACTTTTCCAACAGTTCTGAATGCTGCATTAGCCTGAGCTAGTCTGCTGCAGTATGAACAACAGAAGGGCCCATGAGCCAAAAATCAACAGACAGTGTGACTTTCAGGACACGGAGCAAACCTGAGGAGACTGCCAGGGTCTGGGTGCCGTGCTCTGGTAACACAGAAGCGAGTTTGAACGAAACCACGCTAAATGCAGTCTGTACATGTCTTAAGACAGGTTCTTTTGAACACGTATGCCCTTGGAGATTGATTTTAAAAACAGTTTAAGGAAGCAATCTAAGTTTCCACATTAAAGAAATTAATATAAACAAGGAGCAGGGCATGGTGGC